GGCTCTCAAATTACAGGACTACAATGTCCAGATTCAGCACATCAAGGGCTCTGATAATGTCGTGGCTGATGCCCTTTCCAGAGCTGGGGAGATGGAGATTTAGGTATTGTGTAGACTTAAGTCTAAAAGTTTGAAAGATTATGTAAGTACATAGTACTTTGGTTCCTGGTCTGTATTCTTAATGGTGGGGGTGTTACGTCCAAGGACGTATTCATTCATTTATTTATTTGTTTATATTATTTATTTAGTTTTTTCTTTGAACCTTTTTGATTTACTCTGTTTCTGAAAGAGTGGGCGTGGTCGTGTTCCCTGTGTTTGCTTGCTGTCTCTCTTTCTCTCTCTCTCTACTCGCTCTCAGGCCTAATCATCAGCACCTGACACTCATTTGTGAATCTACCTGAGACGGAGAGTATAAGCGTGCAGTCAGCGTTTGCAGAGGAGAGCACACTTCTCCCCTGGTCCAGACTGAACTGTTGAAACGCTCTGCTGATTTTCAGAGATTGTGGTAGGGAGTTAGCAGTGGCTAACTCACTTAAGCCGTGGCCTGACTTGAGAGATCTTGTTCTCACTAAAAACTGAGAAGGAATTGGTTGCCCTGGAACTCTTGCTTAATTATTGTTTAATATTTACTTTTGTAAGGGAAGCTGTAGGGGGTGAGTGCCTTTTTCTTTGAATGCTGTTTTGACTCTGTTTTTTTTGTATAGTAAGGGAGTTGAGGAAAGTTTGTGTTGTTTATTTCTTTTTTGTTTAACCCTTCTTAGGTAAGTTAGAACTCCTCCTAAATTTAGTTAGTGGGCTGTTTTGTTTGTTGTTTTAGGCCTTGCTCTCCCCTGAGCCATTGCTCCCTAGGAACTCATGTTTTCTTCTCTTTTCTTAATATATTGTTTGTAAATAAAATCCTTTCATTGACATTTATATTGTCTGGTGTCATTTTCACTCGGGGACAGAGGATTGAAGTGTGTTCTCGCCCGTTTTTTTTTTTTTTTTTTTTTTTTTCTTTTGTTACTTCCCCTTGCAACCCCTAGACGGTAAGGGGGACGTAACAGAAGGTTTAAAATGTTTATATTAGAAAAGTATGATTTAAGGTAGATTGGGACATATGTCTCATTTCCTCTTCAAGAGGATGATTTGAATTATTATAAAGTCTGTTTCTTGCCATTCCTTTAATATTAATTGTCAGTATTACATTTTGTGTTTTTTGTTTATTTATTTATTTATTTATTTTTTTACATTATAATTGTATTGTGTGACTTATTTTTAGATAAAATGTACTGCAAATGATTAAGTTTTTTTGTTGTTGTTGTTTCTCAAAAAAGATAAATTATGATATTTTGTAAAGAGAAAACAGTAGCCGTTTCAAATCCAGATTTGTAAAAGGGGAAGGTAAACATAAGTTAGCTTCTTCCTTCTCCTTTTTTTTCCTATATTCTTTTTCTTCTCTTTTGAACATGCTGAGATTTTGTTTTTATTGTTTTTTGTTTAAATATGCTCTGTTATCAATGACCATGTTCTGAAGAGGAAGTCCCGAGCTCTGGAGGCTACTCGTATGGCTCCTGGATGGGACGAGGCAGGTTTGAGTTCGCTGCCACCTGCGGTGCCGGCAACCATCACTTCCGCTAGAGCGTCGTCCACGAGACACCTCTACGCATTGAAGTGGAACCTCTTCGTCAACTGGTGCTCTTCCCGTGGAGAAGACCCCCGGAGATGTTTGATCGGTGTTCGATTCGACATCCGTAACCAAGACGTTATCATCTATACCAAAGCGAAGTCTCAGTAATTCTTTAGAGGGATAAATGTCGTTCATTACTTTAAAGTGAGTTTTTTTCACTTTGGGAGGTATAGGGAGTGTTAGATACATTGGCCCTCATTTATCTTTCTTGCGTAGATGGGTCATTCCTGGCATGCGGTGACATCAGTGTTGGGGAGTAGTTAACTACAAGTAGCGAAGCTACTAACTTAACTACAATTTTCAGTAGCTTGGCAGTAGCTCCGTTGCTTTTTAAACAGTGTAGCTTTTCCAGTAGCTAACTACATTGCAAAAGCTACATTGCGTTTGTCGAGCCTGCGTGAATCAGCGCAATGCAAGGATATTCTTCTTGTTAGATTACAAACTAATTTTTTGCCATTACCGCCACTTGTTGTTTAATAACGCATCTTGCGGCTAACTGTTCACTGACGTACAGAAGTGTGTTGACACACCCATATTATAATTATCCATGATGGAGCAAGACGTGACGGCAGATTTGGAGTATGGAGAAACAACTAACGTTAATTACCCATGGCCTTATTTGTCCAAGTTCAAACGGTGTTTTTGAGAAAATGTTCTACATGCAATTTACGCTGGATGTATATTTTGTTCTTGCAATGTTGTAGGCTATTTGTTGCAATTTTGCACTTTTGACAAACAGTCTGAGATATTTGAGTGTTGTGTGTAATAAAACAATACTCTTTGAAATCATAATTGTATTGCATTGTTTTAAACACTAAATATTTTACTTAAAATATTCCTCAGACACTTATTCAGTTATTTATAATTTAAGTTGTTCAAAAAGAAAAAGTAGTTTCAATGTAGCTAGCTACTTTTTGATAGTAACTTGTAGTCTACCTAACTACTTTTCCGAAAGGGTAACTTGACTGTAGTTTAACTACTTGAACTTACGAGTAGCTTGTAGCTTGTCAAACTACAGTTGTTGGCGTAAGATTATGCTTACACTCCTCTCACCGCCTGATTTATGAAGCTGTGCGAACCTTTGAAATCCAGGTGTACGCAATGCCTGCCCTTGATAAATCCCGCGGCCGAAAATGATCATCATTAGAATAACACGCCCCTAAATATTCAAGTCTCCGCTCCCCCCACGCCCTCATTTTACGGCATGGACACACAGAAGACAGCAAATAAGAGAAACTTTTTTTTTCCGACGTGGAGCCGAAATGAATGACCCATCACAATGCATTATTTTACAGCACGTCTGTTGAATCAGTATTCAGTTTCGAATCACGTCATATATATAGGAATAGTGATGATGATGATGATGTGATGTGAAGTACCATTCATTCACATTAATAATTGCATGACAATTTGTAATATTCTTATTATTATTCTTCTTCTTATTATTATTATTATGATTTATATTAATGACGCTTATTGTTATTCAGAAGAAGGATGCCGTTATTATTTGTATTATTATTATCATTTAAAAGAAGAAGAATGTATTTTTATTATTTTGTCAGTCTGAATTATTTTTTGGTCATTGAAAGCCTTTCATTACCGAACCCAGTCCGTGCGCACCTGCCGGGGATAATCCTGAAACGTCAGGGTAAAGCGCACAGGCTCGCAACTGAAGGAATACATATCCTTACAAATCAAATGCTTTGGTAAAGTCACACAAATTAAACATTGAAGTCCACGTTGCATAAAAATAAACACTGAAGTTTATAATTACTATGTTGTGTTTTTGTTTGTTTTTTTGTTTTGTTTTTTTAGAGTGGGTTATAATATATCATATCTTTTAGTTTGTCAGTGCGTTATGTGGTGTTAGGAATTTTTCTGCGCATTCCCGCACTAACTCAAAACGTGCACACCACGGCCTGAGCTGGGGCCAGATGTATAAACGTTGTGTACGCACAAAATGGGCATAGAAATATGCGTACGCATTTTTCCACGCGCACATCGGGATTTATAAAAAAATAAACTTGATAAATTATTGATATTGATAAATCTCAAAGTCACCGTGGTTTTGGGTGTACGCAAGGTGTACGCTGGAAATTTGGTGTACGCACTTTTGATAAATGAGGGCCATTGTTCTTAGTTTAGTAATTGTCGCTTTATCAAATTTTTGTATAATATTATTTTTATTTTGCCTTTCAGGGAAAAGGTATTCAGTAAAACAATTTCTAATAAAATGGTTAGTGCATTTTCTATCTAGAACAGAGATCCCTTGAATTGATAGTGGGGCCAATTGTGGTTGTATTGGATAATATGCCAAAGTGTTTCTTATTAGAAAGACAAATTGTTGGGGTAACGCTCTGTGTAATTTAGTGAAGTCTGATTTTAAGGGTTGGAAATTATGTTTGATGCAAAATTTATCATAATTTAAGAAATTACCATTGGCATCCATTAAGTCAGCTATGGACCATATATTTCTCTCATACCAGTCTTCAAAGAACAGAGATCTGTTACGGTACAGAACATATCTGTTGTTCCAGAGTACAGATGTGTGGGGTGAGAAGTTATGAACGTACAACATTTTCCCAATACAAAAGTATTTGTCTGTGAAACTCTGACAAGGATATGGTAATTTGTCAACATTAAAGTCCACTCTAAGAAGAAATTCTAATCCTCCTATTTTCTTGAATAAACTATTTGGAATACAATACCAAAAAGAGTTGTTGTGTTTGATCCAAGATTTTAACCAATTTATTTTTAAGGTTCCATTAAGGCAGTCAAAATCAATAACTTTTAGTCCTCCATCCTTTGTGTCTTTAACCATATTGCTTTTCTTCATATAATGTGGTCTATTTCTCCAAACGAAGTTTAGGTTGATTTGGTTGATAGATTTAATTAATTTGTTTGGAATGTCATTGGAGTAGGCTGGGTAAATACATCTCAATAAACATTCCATCTTAGTTAAGTAAATTCATCCTAGAATTGAAATGTCCCTCTGTAACCATATATTTAGTCTTGATTTACGTTCCTTAATTTTATTTTCTACATTCAGAAGTTGGCTTTGTTTTTGGTCCTTGGATAGGTAAATCCCCAGGTATTTAATTTCCGATTTAATAGGAATATTACAAATGTCTTCCAGTTCAGTGTCATGTATTGCCAGCAATTCAAACTTTTTTAAATTTAATGTTAGGCCTGAGGCTTTGGAAAAGTTTTCAATTTTGGCAATAGTTGTTGAAATTTGGTATCTATCTTTGTATTTGAATACACCTTGTGGTGCAACCTGGACACATCGTCAGTAATGCTCCCGGGGTCATAGGGTGTTTCGGGTCTTACATCAGACACCCCCACCCGGGCGACCCAGCCGGGGGTGATCAAGCCCCGACTTGTGTCCAGGTAGCGCTCTATGCCACGCGTCCCCCCTCCTTAACCAGAGCCATCGTGCTGCCTTTTCAGCGGCTTCCAGAATGTTCTTGATGGCTCTTTGCCTGTGCAGTCCACAAATCCCTAAGAGTCCCAGGACCCGGTGTAGAGACTGGCCAGCGAAGCCCCTACAGCCCACTTCAACCGGCTCACAGCGGGCTTTCCACCCATTCCTCCGACACTCCGCTACCAGATCAGCGTACTTGGCCCTCTTTCTTTCCTGGGCTTCCTCCATTCTCTCTTCCCAGGGGACCGTTAGTTCAAGTAACACCACCTGCTTGCTTGCTGCGGACATCAAGACCATATCCGGTCGTAGTGTTGTGACTGCAATTGTGTCTGGGAACCTCAATTGCGTCCCCAGGTCCACCAGGAGGTGCCAGTCTCTTGCTTTTGCCAGCACGCCCCCTTGGGTCTTTCTAGGGGGCTGCGGCTTCTCTCCTGCTCGAACAAAGGCAATTGCAGACTTGGTTGGATGGTGCTGCTTGCTAATGTTAATGCCAATGCAGATGGCGTCTGCTACTGCCTTCAGGATCTGGTCATGGCGCCAACGGTAACGCCCATCTCCCAACGCTTTCGGGCAGCAGCTGAGGATATGCTCTAATGATCCCCTTTTCTGGCAGAGTTGGCAAGCAGGTGAGTCCACCAGGCCCCAGGTGAACAGATTGGCAGGGCTAGGAAGGACATCATACACTGACTGGACCAAGAACTTGAAATGGTGTGGTTCCGCCTTCCAAAGTTCTGCCCAAGTGATCTTACGGCCAGCTGTTTGCTCCCACTTTGTCCAGGCCCCCTGCTTAGACATGCCCACCACTCTGCTGAAGCGAGCTTCCTCCACCTCGGCTCGTACCTCCTCCTGGATAAGCTTCCGCTTCTCCTTTCCTCTGGCTTTGCTGTAGCATGGCTTGGGATTACTACCAAACCCGGCCCGCCCAGTTGCCACCGTACCCACCAGGGTGCTATGCCGCAGCCTTGCCTCCGCCCGTTCCACTGCATCCTGGGCGCGCCACTTCCTTCCTGTTCTGACCTCTACCCCTGCTGAAGAGACCTTGGTGTCAACTGAGTCTCGGTAGAGCAGGACTTCTCTGGCTCGGGTGACCTTGAACTCCTCTGCCAGACTACTCAAGGGAAGCTGTAGCTTGGTGTTATGGCCAAAGAATGCAATGCTGCTTAGGCTCCGTGGCAGGCCCAACCACCTGCGCAGAAATCGGCTGACCTTCCGCTCAAAGCCCTCCACGGTGGTAATTGGGACTTCATATATCCGCAGTGGCCAGAGGAGACGAGGGAGGATGCCATGTTGGTAGATCCAGGCCTTAAACCTACCAGGAAGCCCTGACTTGTCCACTGCCAAGAGCCATGTGTCGAAGTCATCGCTGGTTCCCTTCCGTGCAGCGGTGTCCTTTAGGTTGTGGGTGAAGAGCTTGCCCAGGCTCTTCACTGGCTTTTCTGACACTGATGGAATTCTGGTGTCCCCCAACATGAAGCGGAACTGATCAGCTACTTTTCCTTTCCTCAAAACCAAGGACCTGGATTTCGCGGGCTTGAAGCTCATCCTTGCCCAAGTGATGAGCTGTTCGAGGCCTCGCAGAAGCCACCTGCATCCGGGCACAGTGGTTGTGGTGACCGTGAGATCCTCCATAAATGCTCTAATCGGGGGTTGTCGGGTGCCAGTTCTGGACAGTGGACCTCTACATTCCACTTCTGCAGACTTCACGAGCATATTCATGGCCAGTGCGAACAGAGACACAGAGATTGTGCAGCCTGTAATGATGCCCTTCTCCAGACGCTGCCACTCCGATATTAAAGTCCCAGAGGACACCCTAAGACTGAAGTTGTTGTAGTAGTCCAGGATGAGATTTTGAATCTTCTCTGGGACGTGGTATCTGCTCAGGGCCAATTCCACCAATCTATGTGGTATCGAACCGTAAGCATTGGCAAGGTCCAGCCACAGCACTGCCAAGTCCCCTTTGCCTTCTCGTGCCTCCCTGATCAGCTGAGTCACCACCCCTGTGTGTTCAATACACCCTGGGACCCCTGGGATTCCTCCTTTCTGCACCGAGGTGTCTATGTAGGTGTTCTTAAGGAGAAATCCCATCAGACGATTGGAAACAATCTTGAAGAAGGTTTTGCATTCAACACTGAGGAGGGAGATTGTCCTAAACTGCTCGATGTTACTTGCATTCTCCTCCTTGGGAATCTTTTAAGAATATGGTTGTGTCGTCTGCTAGTTGGCTGATTATTATGTCTGTGCCAAGTACACATTGAAGCTTGGGGTGGTACCACTAGGTAATAGAACACAGCTACTAATATCTCTATTGGCGCTTTTCCACTGCATAGTACGGTACGGTTCGGTTCGGTACGGCTCACTTGTGGTGCTTTTCCACTACATGGTACGGTGCAGTACGGTTCGCTTCAGGTCGCTTTAAATGGTACCTGGTCTGTTGAGGTTCCAAGCGTACCGCACCGGTACTAAAATGTGACGTGAAACACTGCAGATCACTGATTGGTCAGACAGAATCGTCACTACCAGCGTCACTACTAATCATTGGATTTGCGACACGAGACACGAGACACTTTTTTAGCAGTATTTTTGTTTTGCTGCCATCAGCCTCATTTTAAACACATTTTTCCGTCTAGCAGTTAAAAACAACCACATACCGAGAATCAGGAACACCATCCCCTCGATAGTCTCCATTGTTCCTGTGTTGTGGGTTTGAAAATGTGGCGCTTTTAAGATGATGTCATGGCAGTAGAGGCGCGCGCAAATAACGATCAGTCCCACACACTTTGAAGGGGTACTACTGCAGTGGAAACGCAAAGCGAGCCGAACTGTTCCGCGCCAAGTCGAAGCGTACTGGGCCGAATCGTACCGTACTATGCAGTGGAAAAGCGCCTTATATAATCCACCTACAAATTCTCTGAACTTGACTCCAAAACCAAGGTGTTCTAGCGCTGAAAGAATAAATGGATGTTCCACAGAGTCAAACGCTTTATAGAAGTCTAGAAAGAGAAGGAAACCATCATCCTCTATTTGGCTTTTATACTCAATTATGTCCATTACCAGTCTTATATTATTATGGATTGACCTCCCTTTTAAGAACCCTGACTGTGTGTCTGCAATAAGATTCGAAATACCCTTTCGAAGACGAAGAGTGAAGATATAAGTTAGAAGTTTGTAGTCTGAATTTCTAAGTGTAATGGGTCTTCTGTTATCTATAATTCTGGGATCTTTCCCAGGTTTTGGAATTGAGATGATAACCCCATGTCTCATTGTTCTCAACGCGTTCTCATCCCAAAGCGCCATATAGGACGCTTTTGCAAAAGCGTAAATATCCAGCGCACATGGCACCCTTTAACGTCTAATGAGACGCTTCGGTTAATGGTTAAGTTTAGGTATGGTGTGGGGTAAGGGTTAGACCACTAGGGGGCGCCATCTGCCCAAATATATCTGCGTCTCATTTCACGTTAAAGGGTGCCATGTGCGTTGGATATTTACGCTTTTGCAAAAGCGTCCTATATGGCGCTTTGGGATGAGAACGGGCTCTGGTGGAAGCACACGTTTCAAAAATTTCAGTAAAAACTTGTAGCAGTAGGTCTCTTAATTCTACATAAAAATGTCTGTAAAAGTCATCTGTGAGACCATTGGAGCCAGGGGCTTTGTTAAGAGAGAGCTGACCAATTACTGCATCAAGTTCTGTAATTGTTATTTGATTGTCACATGTTTGTTTGAAGCCATCCTCTACTCTGGGAATATGTTGTGCTATTTCCTGAAAGAATTTTTTACAGTCCACATTAGAAAATTTAGAGCTATGAAGCTGGCTATAAAATTTCCAGATTTCTGAAGAGATCAATTTTATCATCTGTGACTTTATTATTATCAACAATCAAGGATTTGATGCTATTTTTTTCCTGTCTTCTTTTTTCCAAACCACAGAAATACACTGAATTCCTTTCTCCCTCCTCAATCCACTTTGCCCTGGATCTAATGAAGGCTCCTATATAGGGCCTTACGACTGTAAATTTCATCCAGTTTAGGCTGGAGGCTTAATATCTTCTGTCTATCACCTTCAGCTGGGTTTGGCCTATTGCAATAAAAATTTAACTGATTAATAATGTCTTCTTCTTGTTTTTCACTATCTTTTTTAATTAATTTACTGAATGAGATGGTAAATTGGCGTATTTTATATTTTAGGAATTCCCACTTTTTGGTAGCAGTTGTTAGCTCCTTAGAATTGGCAATTTCTTTAATTAACAATTTGATTTTCTGGCAGTAGTCATTATTTTTGAGCAGGCTGGAATTGAACTTCCAATAAGTGTGTGAGTGGATATTGTTATCATTGGGTTTGATCTGTAGTAAAATAACACTATGATCGGTTAGTGGTGCAGCAGAAATATCAGAGATAATATTATAAAGCAGTAAATTATTTGTAATTAACCAATGGTCAATTCTGGATTTAAAACTGTGACTTGAACTAAACCATGAGTATTTACATATTCCTGGGTTAAAAAGTCTCCAAGTATCAACCAAGTTATGTTTTTCACAAAAGTTTGTGAATATGGTGTTTGGGTGGCTAGCAGAGTGTCTGCGAGGGTATTCATCAAAAAATTCATCTTGAACTACCTCCAATTATGATGTTATCAGTTGAGTGAGTTAATTTAAGATTATCTAAATGTAAGCCAATTTGTTCAATTAGGTTTTGGTTTTCTCTTCTAATATTATTGCCATAAAGGTTGACTATGATGAATTTCAGACCATCAATGTTTATGATAAGAATCAGCCAGTGACCAAACTCATCTGCCTTATGGGACACAATTTGACCTTTGAAGTTATTTAGGAGGATGGCGACACCTGCTGACTTTGAAGTGCCATGACTAAAGTAAGCTTCATCTCCCCATTGTTTACACCAGAAGGTAATATCATCGACATAAGAATGAGTTTCCTGCAAAATACATTATATTAGACTTCTTCCCCTTACAAAATAAGAAAATACTTTTTCTCTTTGTCATGTCTCTTAAACCCCTTGCATTAACAGACATTAAAGAGATGTTACTCTTTAAAGTGAACATAGGTAAAAACAAAATAACAAACAATCAACAATGGATAATAGAACTTAAACAACAGTAGAGTTTCCTATTAGAAAAATGTAATAGTAGCAAAACCCTGAGAACACGTTATCATTCAAACTCACTTGTTCAAAAACCGTGGAACGTTGTGTCTATGGCAAGACTCTTTGGCCATTAATGAAAGCATGGGGACCCCGAAACACTGTCTTTAGACCTGCCTTCCTCGCTTGTTCGACTTTCCGTGCCACTCTGTCTTCTTTGGTGAGGTCCTCTGCGAATCGGATGTTGAGATCCTTGCAAACGGAGTAAAGTTTGGTGATGCGCCAGAGTTCGTCCCTGAAGTGTCGTCCTGTGAACTGCATGATGATCTGACGAGGGCGATTGGTGTTACTCGGCCCCAGACAGTGTACCGAATCCAGGATGAAGTCCATCTTATCCCTCCAGTGTGGCATAATCTTTCTGATGATCTCAAAGATGATTTGTCGAGTGTTTTCGTCTTTTACCTCCTTTAAACCATTTACTTGCAGGTTCCATCTTCTTTTATAACGCTCCAACTCTACAGCTCTTTTTTCCACTTCTGCTGCTCTTTTTCCAAGCTCCGTGTTCATCTCTTTGAGTTGTTTCACCTCGACGTGCAGTTTCTGGGACTGTTCCTTACAATCTTTGATTTCTGCAGAGTTAAACTCTACCGCTTTCACGATGTTGGCTATGGTCAGTGTGTTCTGCTTTAGATCGTCTTTGAAATCTTGCATCATGTTTTGAAGAGTGCCGATAGCAGCCAGGATTGCCGCGTTAGATGCGTCATCTGCATGGGCGCCAGCAGCCACGACGTCATCTTGTTTTGACTTTTTGGTGGTGCTGGTGGTTTGGAAGGCGATGTTAGGCTATTTTTGGTACCTTTTATATTCGTTTCCATACTTTCTGTACCACAGTAGTCGTGTGCTTGGAGAGCCTTCATTTTAGCATTAGCTTTAGAGCTAGCCATGTTATGGTCTACAATAACGTTCTCCAAGAAGTGCACAGGGTTACTTACACATTTCTAAATTATTAGGATACGTTCCCTACGGTTTTACATTTAATAACTTAGGGTTTTGATAAGTTATAAGTACATTCCGTCCATTTTAAAGGTTTTGCTACTCTGAGCTATTCACAGAGCGTCCGCTCTCTCCGCCATCTTCCCATGCCCCCGTAAGGAAACGCGAATGTAAACCGCGCATTGAGTCGCGTTTTGTGTGCGAGATGCTGTTCTTAGACACTGATTAATCACAAGGCACCAATTATGAATTATTCTTAAATTAAACAATGGGGCATGTAATCGCAGTGAGCCTCGCATCCCACGCCATGCGTTCTGTATTAAGATTTTTACTTTTAATGACTTATTGACTTTTGTTCATTTTATTTTACTGATAACAGCCATAGTGCCTTATTATTATAATAACTGAGTAGTTTATCGATTTAATATTAAGAACTTGACATATATGATGATGTATAGCTATAAGCCTACCTATTTAATAAGGTTTGGGAAGATATAATATCAATTATAGGGGGTAATATCACCAGGACCATGGGCACGACCGGTGCTGTTTGAATGGGCATATGATTCTTCTGTGCTCCATGGCGTGAGATGTAGCTCACTGCGTTTACATGAGCCCCTTTTGTTTGATTTAAGAATAATTCAAAATTGATGACTTGTGATTAATCAGTAGCTATCTAAGAGCAGCATCCATGTTATATGGGTTGCGTTTTAAACATTTGAATTGTCACCTATGCATACAAAATGAGGAAACGCGAATGTAAACCGCTGAGTTGCGTTTCAAACTGATCAATATGCTTGCGTAGGAGTCAGTGAAATGTGCACTGGTTTCTCTCCGCGTTCTGCGATGGTGTGTGAGTCTTATCGACAATAAACCCAAGCCAAACACAAGCAATCAGCCCTATCCACCCCATGTTATTAATAGTGGATATACTTTCACGCATTTTCATGTCCATTGTCCAAGTATTTGCTATCAGACCCGTTGAAGACAGTTTCTGTTCATATGTGCTATGTTAGTTAACCCTATATAGCCTACCATACATAGGCTACAGTTAAAGGCTACCTTTAGGGTGATACGAATGACTTAAAATGTGATATTGCCTGCACAGCTCTTGCGTTTCGTTTGGTCAAACACCACAAGGTGTCACTGTGGCCTCAAAGCTTCAGCACTGCCACTCTGAGCTTGATTGCTTATGTCTGAGTTAAAACACGCCCCCCTCATTAACATACGGAGAAAGAAATGTTGGAATAAATAAATGTGGAAATAATTAAATGTGGAAATAAATAAATGTAGAAATAAATAAATGTGAAAATAAATAAATGTAGACATAAAAACATAAATACATAAATGAATGTGGAAATAAATAAAAGTGGAAATAAATAAATGAATAAATGTATAAATAAATAAATAAATAAATAAATAAATGTGTGAAAAAATACAATTATACATTAAAGTTGCAAGCAGCGATGGGCGGGCCCTCACACCTGTAGCACGTCGGGGTGTGAGGCGGCCGCGTTGCATATTCTGGAACTCAGCCGGTTTCGGCTCTGAATTTGCTACGCATCCAAATCACCCAAAAATTGACGTAAAATTCAAAATGGTCACTTCCTGTTGCCAGCGGGAGGCGCTATGACTGTGGGTGAATGTCGGCATGTAGATTTGTTCAGGGTGGGACTCTTATCAAATGTGTAAAATGTGGTGCAGATCTGGGCATTTACAGCCAAGTTACTACAACTTCCTGTTTCATGGCGAATCATCGACGCCATGGACACGCCCATCGACGAAAATGCGCAGATAGCACAACTTTACATCATCAATGCCTTTAGAAGGCACAGCCGAAATTTGAAGTCGATCCGACTAAATCCCTAGGAGGAGTTAGTTAAAGTACGGAGTGTGTAAATCGTCCAAAAATGGCGGTAAAATTAGAAATGGCCGACTTCCTGTTGAGTTTAGGGCATCGCTCCAAGAGACTTTTCTGTGCGTCTGGACATGGTAGATGTTCCACAGAAATTTTGTACTTGTCGGTCAAACATGCGGAGGGGGCTGCTTCATTAAAAGTCACTTCCTGTTGCCAGCAGGTGGCGCTATGACTGTAGGTGAATGTCGGCATGTAGATTTGTTCAGGGCGGGGCTCTTGTCAAATGTGTACAATTTCGTGCAGATCTGGGCATTTACAGCCAAGTTACTACAACTTCCTGTTTCATGGCGAATCGTCGATGCCACAGACACGCCCATCGACAAAAATGCGCAGATAGCACAACTTTACATCATCAATGCCTTTAGAAGGCACAGCAGAAATTTGAAGTCGATCTGACTAAATCCCGATAGTAGGGAGGTTAAGCCCAAAAAATAGGCCTTTGACTTCAAGTCATGATGCAAAGGTCTCCTTTGGTATGGAAGTACCTTAGGGTCATACAAATAAATTTATCCTAAGACACAAGTGTGATCACACTTTGTATCAGAAATAAATATGTTTTTTCAAAAATGGCCGCCAATGTGGCAAAAATACTCTAGAGCCCATATCTTTCCTTCTGTTATCGCTATAATGACAAATTTAGTGTCAAAGTGTACATTTTTGGGGTCAAGGAATCCAATGAAATTGGTTTCAAGTTTTTAAAAAAAAAATTATTTTACCCATACCATGACAATTGGGGGAAAATATGCACATTTCACATAAAAATTGTGTCATCAGAGTGACTTTACTTGTCTTTTCGTTCAAAAACTTTAATTTTGTATTTAAGCCGTGCAGCTACTTCTGTACATTACTGTACATTTGTTCTAAGTAGCATGAGATTTCGACCAGTCAGGAGTAGCCTATAGCAAATCAGTTCCTGCAACAACACATCCCATCTGCACCAGGAGCTGTGACAGCTGTTGAAGGTCAGAGGTGACAGGTTAACACTTTAAGGTTCGTACGACTATCTTGTTAAATAGAAAAATGTTTTTAATGTTAGATAACTAATAACTAGCTAGATAGTTGACTATGGAAAAAAAACCTTAGAGGGAAAACCTCTTTTTGAGAATACTGAAGGCAAAAATTATCCTTATAATTTGTATTAATTTAAATGCACTTGCTGCATCTAGCAGACCTAGGCGAGGCAGCTCGCGCACCTATTGGCTGCTCTGCGGTAGAGCCCTGCTCGGGACTGTTTTCTTCATCACGCTTCTGACAATTATCGCCCGCTCCCGCAATATATGTGTCCACTCCCGCCTGCACCCGCAAAACTCGGAGAATTTATTCCCGCACAATAATAGAGATGCATTGATTTTGTGTCTTCTCCCTTTGTGTATTATCCCACAGGAAAAAACACGCATTTGTATTGCTATTATTAAAGAGAATCATGGGGTTGTTTGTTTTGTTACCCTGGCCTGCATCTATTCTGACACACTGATCAGGAAGATGAATAGTAGTCCAAATGTAAGACTTGCCTTGCTTAGGTTTTGTGCTGTAAATACCTCGTTTGAGGATCTTTTCCACATCATTTATTGACATCTCCATCATGTCGCTAGGCTTCCCGATCCCGCAGTTTTTTTTTTAGCCGCTCATTCTCGCCCGCAGCAAAGTTCAAACTGCCCGCTCCCGGGAGATTTGCGCTGGGTCCCGCGGGACTCAATCCCAATGTAGCCCTCAACTCCGCAGCAACTGCTGCAACCTATCGAGGGACTGCTCGTGACGTAAGCACCAATTAGGGCGCTGGCGCCCTCAGTCGTCACGTCCCGTGCAAATGGACGTGGCTTATGCCTATATAAGCCAGAGCTCGATGAGATGCTCCTTGGTTTTCATCGACTGAAGCGAAACCAGATGGTAGCACAACCATGTCTTGGTTTGAGGATGACCTTGTAGTCATTAGGCCAAAACTCAAGGCATGACGTGCTAACAGAAAGTGCATGTAAGTCACCCACTCACTTGACTGAGGCGATAGCCACCAGAAAGGCGGTTTTCAATGAGAGATACGCAAGCTCCACAGACTGTAGAGGTTTGAAAGGGGCACCCTCCATGGCCTCAAGGACCAAGGAAAGGTCCCATATGGGAACCGAGGGAGGGGGGTCGAGGAGGGTTCATCCTTCTAGCTCCCCTGAGGAAGCGGACTACAAGGTCGTTCCTACCAAGTGACTGGCCATGCCAATGTTTGACAAGCGCAGCAATAGCCGCCACATATACCTTGAGCATGGATGGGGATCTACCCTTATCCAAAAGCTCTTGTAGGACACTGATCACAGGGAAGCATAAAGCTGTCTAGTAGAGGGCGCTCTAGCTTGCGCAATCGTGTTTAACACTCCGTCGGGGAGACTGATGGGTACCTGTTGATGGCCCACACATGCAGAGCCCAAAGCTCGGGTCGTGGTTGCCAAATCGTACCCCGGCCTGTGAGAGGAGATCTCTCCTCAATGGGACAGGCCATGGAGCCAAGCTCTGAAGCTGCATGAGCTCCGGAAACCAAACTTGGTTCTGCCAGAACAGTGCTGCTAGAAGCACAGAGAAGCCATTCTCCCTAAGCACGTCCTTGTTCTTTGTGAAGCCTATTGGACACTGAACGTTGTCTTGAGACGCAAAGAGGTCGAATTCAGCTGTGACAAAGGTGTCCCACAACAGTTGAACTGTCTGAGAGTGGAAAGACCATTCCCTGGGGGAACGTTGTCCCTGGACAGCTTGTCTGGACCCACATTGTTGGCCTGGCACATGCGCTGCTCTCAGCTAGAGTAGGTTGCACTGAACACATTCAAGGAGGCGTTCTGCCAGTGCATGAAGGTTCCATGACTTCAGACCGCCCTGGCGATTTATGTAGGAAACCACCGACATGTTGTCCGTGCGGACAAGGTGGCCCTTTTCTTCAAGGGGAAGAAAGAAACGCAAGGCGTTCTCAACTGCCTTCATCTCTAGACAGTTTATATGCAAACTCTTTTCTTGGCTTGACCACAGGCCAAAAGTCGGTCTGCCCTGTCTGATGCCGGTCGACCGCCTTACAGGGCTCCAGAGCTGTGATACAGTTCTGAGTTACCTTGAGATGTAATTGACTGGATGCCCGTGCTCGACGCCAGCACTGAAAAGGTGCATGCGAAGCAGAAATTATAAAAGGGATAGTTCACTTAGAAATTAATTTTTGATATGTTTTAGCTTGCCTCAAGGGCATCCACAATGTAGGTGTCTTTGTTTCCACAGTATTTTCAATTTTGATATTTTTAGGTCAAACCGTTCTTGTCTGTCAGTCATATAATGCAGGTCTATGGGGTCCACCTCAAAGAGCATGCACAGAGAAGTCCAAATTAAACATGATTTAATGACTCATAAATGTAAGTACACATTGATGGCCTAAGACACGAAACGAGCGGTCTGCGTGAGAAAACAAATTTTAATTTGGACTTCTCCGTGTATGCTCTTTAAGGTGGACCCCATAGACCTGCATTATATGACTGACAGACAAGAACGGTTTGACCTAAATATATCAAAATTGAAAATACTGTGGAAACAAAGACACCTACATAATGAATGCCCTCGAGGTAAGCTAAAACATATCAAAAAATTATTTCAAAGTGAGCTATCCCTTTAAGTTGTGAATAGAATGTGTGTTTGGCATGCGTTTTTTGATAAAAAAAAAAATTGCACACTTCACCTCTAATTGTCATGGTAAGGACAACATTATTGTTTTTTAGTCATGAAACCAACTTTATTGGACTCCTTGACCACAAAAATGTACACGTTGATACCAAATTTGTCATTATAGCTATAACAGAAGCAAAGATATGGGCCTCTCAAGTATGGTTGGCAGCCATTTTTAAAAAATGTGCGTATATAAGAAACAAAATGTGATCTCACTTGTGTCTTAGGATAAATATATTTCTATGGCCCTAAGGTACTTCCATACCAAAGGGGACCTTTGCATCATAACTTGAAGTCAAAAGTCGCTTAACCTCTCTACTACTAGGAGGAGTTCGTTAAAGTACGGAGTGTGTAAATCGTCCCAAAATGGCCGCCAAATTCAAAATGGCAGACTTCCTGTCGAGCCAAATTTGTTGAGTTTTTGAGCATGTTGCGGCCCCGAAAATGGCGCTTACTTTGCGGAAAAAAGAAAAATAACCCTAACAGTTTCAATAGGGTCCTCGTACTGTTAGTGCCCGGGCCCTAATAAATATGGAAATAAAAGTATAAATACTAATTTATTTGTACTTTTTTACATTTCTTTGTATACTTATTTATGTATTTATTTTTGTATTTTTGCTTTGTAAGACTGGAAAACTGATTAAAGAGAAAATATCTCACCAATGCCCTCTGAAGACAAATGGCATTGCTTTCAAATTAACATTTGACACCCTACCCCCTTTCTCTGAGAATTTACATCTTCTCTCTCTCTCCCTCAGTTAATAAAACTCACACAAGATATATATGGTTTTAATGTGAATGTGATAATCTTTTAGGAGTGTTTGATATGATTTTGAAAGTCTCAGGGTGACTGGTAATAATGTCTCATTCCCAAAGAAGTAAAAGAAAAGGTAATAAGGGTTTTAAGAATATAGAAATGTCTTGCACACAGAAGGGTGTGTCTTTGAGTTAACACTTTTCTTGCTTGTTGTCTGAATGCAAATTACAACTTGTCAAGGATTCAGAGGAGTCCAGAGTAAGTTGCAGAAAACACTCAATACTTTAATAAGAAATAAATCACCGCCTCACAGGCTGAATGAACAGAAAATGTCTTTTCACAGAAGGAAACAGTAAGTAGCTCTGCAGACGGAGATAATGGACCTCAGCTGGCTACCCAGAGGGGTCGGGAGCTATGGAGCTGGTACAGCGCTCTTGCAGGTAGACCCTCAGCAACTCTCCTCGGCGACTGCTGAGAGTGATACAGAAGCAGTATAGCACAGTGGTAGGCAATGATTGTCTCAGACACGCAGGACCAGACAGGACAGGACAGGACTGGTGAAACAATTACTGAGAGAAGTCAAACAACAGCGATCCAACATACGTTAGGGTCAAACAATAATCCGACAATTCAGACACGAAAGAGAGAGCTAGAAGTAGCGTGGAGATGAGGAGAAGATAGAGAACAGGTGTGTAGTTGATGAGAATATGAGAGTCAGCTGACGGTAATGAAAGGAAGAGAAAATGGAAGTGTAAGCGTGTGGAAAGAGAAGAAATGATGAGGTCTAACCAGCAGAGGGAGACAAAGGAAAGAAAACAGACAGAAAGAACCAGACTCATGACAGTACCCTCTCCTCAAGGTGGGTGAGGACCAGAGGGTGACTGACGGGCGCGAAAGAAGTCGTCAATCAGCGAGCGGTCCAGGACGTCCCGGGAGGGGATCCAGCATCTCTCCTTAGGACCATACCCCTCCCAATCGACCAAAAACTGATGACCCCTCCCCCTGGGGCGAACGTCGAGTAATCTGCGAACACGGTATATGGGAGCACCCTCGACACGGACCGGAGACAAGACAGGACGCGGAGGGGCGCAAACAACGGGCTTTAAATTAGAAACATGGAACACCGGATGGACCCGACGCAGGCTGGCTGGCAATCTCAGTCTGACCGAGACCGGACTATGGACCCTAACAACGCGGAATGGTCCAATGAATTTGGGAGCGAGCTTGTGCGAGGGATATTGAAGAGGGAGGTTGGCAGTCAAAAGCCAAACCCTCTGACCACAAGCATATCGAGGACTCTTGATCCGACGCTTATTAGCGGCTCGAAGAGTGACAGAGCGTGACTTACAGAGAGCAGCTCTAACCGTTCTCCAAGTTCGTTTACAGCGCTGGATGAAAGCTAGGGCGGAAGGCACCTTGGACTCCAAATCGGAGGACGGAAAAAGCGGAGGCTGGTATCCTAAACAACTCTGAAAGGGCGAAAAACCGGTCGCAGAAGCTGGAGCGGAGTTATAGGCATACTCAGCCCACGAAAGCTGTTCCGCCCAGGACGCGGGATTGCGAAAAGCTAAACAGCGTAACAGACGGCCACTCATCTGATTAGCGCGTTCGGCCTGACCGTTCGTCTGGGGATGATACCCAGAGGAGAGGCTGACCGAAGCGCCAATGAGGCGACAGAACTCCTTCCAGAAGAGAGACGAGAATTGCGGTCCCCTATCCGAAACTACGTTTTCCGGGAGACCATGGATCCTAAAAACGTGATCAACAACGATCTGAGCGGTCTCCTTGGCGGACGGAAGTTTAGGCAACGGGACGAAATGGGCGGCCTTGGAAAAACGGTCAATTACCGTGAGAATGACCTGGTTACCCCTGGAGAGTGGAAGCCCAGTGATAAAATCAAGCGCAATTTGAGCCCATGGACGAGATGGGACAGGAAGAGGCCTAAGAAACCCCGCCGGAGGTCTATTAGTACCCTTAGTCTGGGCGCAGATAGAACAGGAGGCTATGAAACGACGAATGTCACGTTCGCGAGAGGGCCACCAAAACCTCTCTTTGACCGCGGCGATCGTACCCCTGACCCCCGGGTGGACGAACAATTTAGAAGAATGTCCCCACTGGATTACGGCGCGGCGGGCAGAAGGGGGAACAAATAAAAGACCCTTAAGACAAAGCCGCGGCGTTCGAGTGTGAGACAGCGTACGCTTAACCAGACGTTCGATTCCCCAGATGGCCGCGCCTACTATCACCCCCTGGGGGAGAATCCCCTCCTCCGTAGACGTGGTCTCAGGGGAAGGAAACTGACGTGAGAGAGCATCAGGCTTCTGATTCTTGGACCCCGGCCGAAAAGAGATGGTAAAATCAAAGCGCGTAAAGTAAAGAGACCAACGAGCCTGAGGGGCATTAAGCCTCTTGGCCGAACGGATGTACTCAAGGTTCTTATGGTCGGTCCAAACTATGAACGGAACAGCCGATCCCTCCAGCCAATGACGCCACTCCCCCAAAGCAAGACGAATAGCTAAGAGCTCTCGATTCCCCACATCATAATTCCGCTCGGCAGGGGTAAGACGATGTGAGAAAAAAGCGCAGGGGTGGATCCGCTCATCAACAGGGGAGCGTTGAGAGAGGATAGCCCCCACACCCACCTCCGACGCGTCGACCTCGACAATGAATTGTCTCTCCACATCTGGAGTGATAAGAATAGGAGCGGAAGAAAAGAGAAATTTGAGACGCTCAAAAGCCGCCTGAGCGGCAACAGTCCAGGAGAACTGTGACTTAACCGACGTGAGCGCGGTGAGGGGAGCCGCAATCTGACTAAAACCCCGGATAAACCGTCGATAAAAGTTTGCGAACCCCAAAAAACACTGAAGAGCGACACGAGACTCGGGGATAGGCCAGTCAATAACCGCACGAACTTTGACAGGATCCATACTAATCCCCTGAGCGGAGATAACGGAACCGAGGAACGTAACCGTAGGGGCGTGAAAGGTGCACTTCTCGGCTTTAACAAAAAGACGGTTCTCTAAAAGACGCTGAAGGACCTGTCTAACGTGCTGTACATGAACTTGGAGAGTAGGAGAGAAAATGAGAATATCGTCTAGGTAGACGAACACGAACAGATTTAACATGTCCCTGAGGACATCATTTATGAGCGCTTGAAACACGGCGGGAGCGTTGACCAAACCGAACGGAAGGACGCGATATTCGAAGTGCCCCAAAGGGGTATTAAACGCCGTCTTCCACTCGTCACCCTCCTTGATGCGGATCAAATGATAGGCGTTACGGAGGTCTAGTTTTGTGAAGAACTGCGCTCCTTGCAAGATCTCAAAAGCTGAAGACATGAGAGGTAACGGGTACCTGTTCTTAACGGTAATGGCGTTCAGACCTCTGTAATCTATGCAAGGACGCAACGAACCATCCTTCTTCTTCACAAAAAAAAACCCCGCCCCTGCTGGAGAAGTGGAAGGAGCGATAAGACCCGCGTTCAACGACTCTGAGAGATATTTCTCCAGAGCCTTGCGCT